TTATAGCATGGCCATCGGGGCAGCTTTACCAGAGAGCTGTAGTTTCACACTTCCCAGGGAACCACGGGTCCATTCCCTGCAGATCACAGAGGAAAGGGACCAAATAAAGGGGAAGATGGGTGCATGCACAGTGAAGTCAGGGTGATGTTGGGAAGGTGCTTGTCTGTCAGTATAACCTGGGAACAAAGATAACTGGCTAAAGGAGCAGAGCCATTGCAAGCATGCAAAATCCTGACGAGTTAACTGCTAGTTATAATGCCCAGACAAAGAATTCTCTCTCTCTTGTTTGCTTGCTTTTGCACTTCTGCTTCTCTCTTGCTCCATGACCCACACTTGCCAGTGCGTTAGTCCACCATGATACCTTAGGCCATATGGATCCCACACGCAATGGACTGCAGCTGGGAACACAAGCTAAGCCAGCCAGATGCTAATCTGGACTGTGCTCTAATATGGAGCTAAGACTCTGGGCAGTGGCTTTAATTCTAGCTCCGCTGAAGACAAGATGGAACTATTTCCACGGTGGTATAGAGGGAGATGGGACCTTGGGAGGGAACTCTTTTAATGTTAAATCATCAACAAGCTTTCCATGATACCTCATTCTCCCACGGGGGCCTCAGGAAATTCTTGTTCCCACAGTACCCCAAGAACTCCAATTCCACTGGTAATATATGGGGATGCAGAGGGCACCCCACTGATAATATTTTCATTAAATGTTCTGTGGACCCTCTTAATCTTAAAATTCACATCCTCACATCGTGAAAAAGTATATTTTAATTATTATTACTTTAGTGATTCTCTCTCCTCTATTTTCTCTAATTATTTAGATGTTGGATATACTGCACTAGACATCTGGATTTATTGATACTTTCTCATTTTCCAGATTTATATTTTATGCTCTACTTTCTGGCAAATGTCTTCAACTTTATCTTTCATCCTTTTTTAATTTTTGTTGTTTTGGTTTCTGTCACATATTTTTAATTTCCAAAGCTACTTTTGTTCACTAAGTTCTTTGTAAAAATAACTTATTCTTGTTTTATAGATGTACTATTTTCTTTTACCTCTTTGAGAATATTAATTGTAATTTCCTTCAAAGTTTTATTTCCTATCTTTATCTGTCTAATCAATGCAAACAACTTTGCTTCATCCAATTTACTTCTTTGTCAACTAGGATCTTCACTGTAGTCTCCTAGATTCTATTCTTTAGGTCTGTACTCTTGGACTCATCAGATTCTCCAAAAAAAAAGATGTCTATAGTTTTCTGCCTTAATGCATGGGTCTGATGCCTGTTTTTTGAAGCAGTACAGGCTGTTCCTGTCTCTCATGCTCTCCTCTACCCCCTCTCACATGCCCAGCCCTGCTATACTCTGGGACACCCCTCTACAACCACCTCGCTGGCAGAGTGAGAGAGAGAGTAGAGGCCATAAGGCTGTGAGAGAGCAAAAGTCCAGGATTGCAGCAAGTGTACATGTCCTCCAGGCTGAGGGCTAAAGTCATGCAGGGCCACAGGGAAGTGAGGGGAGGCTGTGGGTGCTGGGAGGTAACCTGAGCTCTCAACCTTGGGTCTGCGCAAATGCCTATCTTTTCCTACGTCAGTGATTTTTAAAAATTTGATTCTGATTTTGGGAGATGATAATTTTACATTTATATATTTTAAAATATATACTTTTTTTATTTTTTTAAGCTTTTCAGGTGTCTCTGCTGTGAAGCCAAAGTAGATGACTAATGAGGTTTCTTGTACCCTTAAATATTCCAAGGACTAAGACTGTCCAGTGCATTTTGGTAAATCCTCAAGGAGCCAATATTTCAACAGCTCTGAGGAAAGAAATACCTATATATGTTCAACATATTTTGCTGCCTTTCAGTTGTTCAAAACAACCTAAGAAAAGGTAAGTCACATCATGCTCTTCTCAGAGGCAAAAACTGTTGGAAGGCATCAATCTTTGGCGACATTAAACAACTTCTGTATGGGAACAATTCCTGCTCAACATGACTAACATCTACACTCGCTTTTGGTGTTGCATCTAATTTCCTTGTCATTATTTTTATGTGGACTGTTCATCTCATTCCCCATTAAGTTTTTCACCCCAGCCTAGAAGCACCAACTCCTGCAGAAGCAAAGCTTATTTACTGTCACAGTACAACCTGTACTTGGAATAAGTAGCCAGTGTGAAGCTTTGAAGTATAATGAACAACCACGGGGTGAAAGAAAAGCTTACAAAACTAGATTGAGAGCAGTTGAAATACCATTTCAAGGAGTGAACTTACAAATGCTACAAAAATCACCAATGACACTGGCCAAAGGATTATGAACATGTAGATACTTTGTGGAATGACCTTTCTTTCTCTGTTTCACCAACAAAATGTTCCATCAATACTTGCCCCAAACTCATGACACACAAAAGGTGGGTGAAAAAACCCAGCATGCATAATAAAAAGCCAGTGATGTCATGTTATTTGAAAAGGTTCATTTAGCTCTTTAATCTCAGTCCAGTCACTGAATTTGGAAGTCGAGAAGTGAAGATTAACTTAGAGTAGCTGTTGATTTCCACTGAGGCTGTTAGTACCCTGGACTCCCAGAGCTGAAGGTCTCACTAACTGGGCTCTCTATATATTCCCAGGGTTAAAGTGTGAAACAGGGATAAGGAGGTATTGTATGATTGATTTTAAACCTCATCAACCCTAGGAAAAGGACCTTTAAGGTATATATGAGACAAATCGAGATGTGTAATTGTAAAAAAAATACGTTCATGCGATAGTAATGTTTATTAAATATGGGCAAGATTAATAAAACAAGTCTCTTCCATCGGTTAAAATTTCTTCCCCAATCTAACTACTAAAACTATGTCATTGTATACAGATTTTGAAGAAAAATGAATAGTCAAAAAAATTTTTTAACCAATAAAACAAAAACAAAACCAAAAGGAGGTATACAAAAGAAACTAACAAACTATAAGTACCATGTCAATTCTATTTAAAAAACAAGATTTGTGCCCAACTGGTGGCTCAGTGGTTGAGCATCGACCCATGCAACAGGAGGTCACTGGATCCATTCTCGGTCAGGGCACATGCCCAGGTTGTGGGCTCAATCCCCAGTAGAAGGCATGCAAGAGGTTGCTTATAGATGATGTTTCTCTCCCATCGACATTTATATCTCTCTATCCCTCTCATTTCCCCTCTAAATTTCAATAAAAACATTTTACAAATAAATAAAAACAAGCTTTTTCAGAGGTCTTATGTTTTAAAATTATACAACTTTACTGACCACCATAAAAACTCTCATTATTTTTAAAAAATATTTTTTATTAATTTCAGAGAGGAAAAGAGAGGGAAAGGGAGATAGAAACATCAATGATAAGAGAGAATCATTCACTGGCTGCCTCCTGCACAACCCCCCACTGGGGATCAAGCCCACAACCTGGGCATGTGCCTTGATTGGAATCAAACTTGGGACCCTTCAGTCTGCAGGCCGACACTTTATTCACTGAGACAAACCAGCTAGGGCAAAACTCTCATTATTAATGCCACACAAATTATTAAGCACATGCAACTTATTAAGAAAAAGAGAAACCCAATAAAAAATGGGCAATATATAAGAACAGGCAACTTATAAAAGCAGAATTACAAATGGCTAAGAAACTTAAGAAAAGATGGTCTTACAGCAGGTAAGAAAACACCCAACATAAAAGTCATTCCATTTTTACTCATCAGAATGGCAAAAATTAAAATGACTGGTTACAGTCAGTGCCAGTGAGAGTAGAGAAAACCAATTCTCCTCTAATTTACAACCTTATGGAAAAATGTTCCAATCAAATTCATTAAAAGTGAAATCATATCTCTTATTTAGTAAAGAGAACCCATCAGTTAGATATCAAAAGAAATAAGAGTTTAAAGGTTTATACTAACATTTACTCTAAAATCACTCATAACATTAACATTATGGAAACCAAAGATCTCTTTAGAAGAAACAGTTGGAAAGTGCTGATACTATGGACTAATATGCAGTTATTAGAAAAACTGAATTATATCATGTACCGATTTTAAAAAACATGCATGATATATTTTAAATTAAAAATAACAAAATAATATATGTATTATTTTTATAAAGCAAAAAATAAATACACAAAACTCATACCCACATCTATACCTCTACAAGCAAAGGGAAAAACACGTGTGTGTGCGCGTGCACACACACGTGTGCATACACACACACACACACACACACACACACACACACCACGTTCTGAAGAGTGGTATAGGCAATGCCTGGGAAGAAATTGAGACAATTCACTTCAGATACATCCATAGTACTCAGTCAATTCTCAGGATCATGAAATGTAGTCATCTGAATTACAAAACCTGAGCACATCGTTAAATGTTCAGCTACTAGTATAACTTGCTATCTTCTAACTCCCTAACATATGCCAAAAAGACTGTTCTGTTTTAAGCTTGCAATTTGGGGACAATTTCTTAATTGTGAGATAAAATCATAAAAATGTAGTTCTTTTGACACATAGCAATCCAATCTGTAGTAAAAGAAATGAAAGACAGCAGTAGGAATAGAACCACTTATATCTGTTTGTACATACAAATGAAAAGTATGCTCTGTGAACTCACCATAACACTGTTTGGAGTCATAATAATACTTCATATTGATGCTAAATAACTGGTACTTCAGTATGGGGTTCCAGGTAGAGCTACCTGAGCTTCCCCTCTACTAAAAACAGTGCTACCATAGGATTCCAGTGGATCTCACTCATTCCTGGCAAATGTTTCTTCATAAAGAAAAACATATGATAAGATCTAAACAATAATACTCCAGTGAAAATATGTAATGTTGAAGCAAGGTTTCCAACTACAAACAATGGCTGTGGTTCACTTTGATATTCTCTTTACATAAAAGTTTTTTAAAAAGGAAAAGTTATGGTAGAGACATCAGACTTTGGCTCAAAAGAATGCACATGAAGAATGCTAATACTTAGCTTAAAAAGATCTTTTCCTACCTTCACATTATCTGGATGCAGCCCCCCAGGGTGCTTGTCCATGTACTGACATAAATCAGTGTGCTGGAAGAAAAAAGGGAAAATGTATTAACATCCCTCTGGCTATAACATGATGAATCAATATTTTTCTACTTCAAAGTCACCATTACCTTCTGAAAAAGCAAATATAAGACAAGTGGGTGGATATTTTAGTTTACACAGCCCTGTGCTCCTCCAATCCCCATTTTTAAGCAAATTCAATCATTACCTTTACCTCTAGGCTCTGTATTATGTTAAATATATCTGTGCATTAGAAAAAATTCATGTCCATAATTTGTAAAGTGCCTCATTCCCTCCTCATTGAATATAAATCTTTCAACTAAGAAAAAAAAATCCAAAAACTAAAACTAAATACTTTAACTTAAAAAAACTGAACTATAACACACAAATAACCAATCCATTTACACTCTCAATTATCTTGTATTTTTCAAATGCAAATGTAGGCTATGATTACTTTGTGTGAAATGAAAAGACTACAATTAGACAAAGTAAAATTACTTTGGATTTGTTCAAATTTCTCTTAGATATATTCAATAAAAAATAACTTTCAGGTTTCTAAAACTCCTGAACATATTTCAAAAAATATATACCTAATAAAATAGAAATACTTTCAAAGTTATAAATTAAAACAAAAATATATACCCAAGTAGAACAAAAAAATCCCTAGAAACATGCTATTATTCTTTTAAATAACCAAGCTTGATTTGCCTGGAATTATATATATTTTTCTTAATACTTTTTCTATTTAAGCACTACAAAAAGTTTTGAAAAAACATGTAAAGTTGCTATTCAAATTTTTCTCATCTTATTGAAAGATAGCATAAAATTTATAAAATTTAGTCATTCTGTAAAAGCCACTAAACATGAGTCTTTGAGTTCCATTTTCAGGAGTCAATTATTGAGAAATCATGAGTTTTATGATATATTCAAGAACCTTGCTGTAGCCATGGTGACAACTGTTCAGATTCCTTTACTGAGTTTTGATTCCATGGCAGGTGGTGATTGATGAAGCTAGAGAGCAGAATTTTGCATTCATTCACTACTCACCACGCGCTCCTTGAGCCCATGTTATGTCCCAGGCACTACACAGTCACTAAGGACACATAAAGTGGCCAATTGAGGGCAAAGGGAAAGAAAATGGGACAGAAGAAACACTCTTAGATATGATCTGAGACAGTATTGCCTTTATTTTGGACCACGCTGTGTTTAACTTCTAAATCAAAGGCAAATTCCATGATGACAGAAACTGTGTTTAATTTGGGAATTACTGTATCTCTGCTCCAGGGAAAATGTCAGACACAGAGAAGAACTGAGTATATACAGGTGGAAATAGTTTTACAGACAGGGTAGCTCATTAAAATGACCCTAAAATATAATTATGATGGGTTCCATGGATTTTTTTTCCTGATGATATAAAGGTTTTATATCATGTAGTTAACAAACTGAGGAAGGAATGCTCTACTCCAAACTGCCACTTTGTAACTCCATATAATTAATTTCTCTGTCCTTTAAAATAGGAATAACATCTCCATTGAAAGAGTTTGGAAGAACAAATAAATAGTACATAAGAAAGTACTTTCACCTATAACAGGATATACAAAAATAAGGTTATTATGTATGAGAGTGGTCATTATATAATAAGATCCCCAAGAAAAAGAACTATATCTAACTTATCGCTTCTCACACATAACATAGTAAATAGAAAGTACATCCAATCATATCAATTATTATATATATATGACATGCTAAAATTATTAAAAATATAAAAATTCAGTTTACAAAAAAAAGAAAATAATATTCACATTGTTTTCAAGATACAAACTAAGAATAACAACAGAAATTAAAGAAACATTTCCTACTATATATTTATATTATTTATATTCATGTTAGTTATGTCAGTACTTATCAATAAAAAATCAGCATATAAACATAAATATTAGATAAATAGAATTAAAGGACAATTTAGTAAACATTAATACATTAAACAGCATGACATGACAATATAAAACAAAATATGATTAGAAGAAGAAGAAGAAGAGGAGGAGGAGGAGGAGGAGGAGGAGGAAGAGAAGGAGGAGACTGCCTGGCCCGCATCGCTCAGTGGTTGAGCATCGACCTATGAACCAGGAGGTTATGGTTTGATTCCCTCAAGTCTAAGTTATGGCTCGATCCCCAGTGGGAGTCATGCAGGAGGTAGCTGATCCTGATTCTCTCTCATCATTGATGTTTCTCTCTCCCTCTCCCTTCCTCTCTGAAAACAATAAAAACATATTTAAAAAAATAAAACTATAAAGAAAGAAGCCTATCAGAAATTGGGGCAGGGGGATTCCTGATGCTCAAGGCACAGGTGATGTCCTTCTGAGCCAATGCCCAGTGGCATTAGCATCAATTGCAGGAAGGAGGCTTCTTCAGAAATGAGATCTTGGGAAATTTAATAAAGACTTTTCCAAACTTTTAAAATGTTTTAATTCATATTTACTTAAATGTATGGCATGAAAATGTGTGTGTGTGCATACACATCACAAGCATACACACATGGCTGTCCTTAGCTGTGTAACCTGGGGCACATTATATCAGCTCTGTATATCAGTATTTTTATCTAATGAGGATAACCCTAATACAGCTAATGAAATGGATACTATGAAAATTAATGAGTAAATATTCAGAATGTTTTTAGAACACTGCCCAATGCCTGGTAGATGCTATTGATGATAATGATGATGATGATGATGATAATGATGATTTTCTGCGGTGTGTTTGGAGCAGGAAGGGATATTTGGAAGGATTGCAATTAAAAATCAAATGATAAATACAGCCAGGAAACTGGAGCTCCTAGGTGTAGCATTTCATCCTTTATGTTTTCCTGTCTGCATGCCCAGCCATTCTCACTCACACTCCACTGCTCTCTGTACACAACCACTGAAGCTACATCTCCAAATACACTATTAACCTCCAATTGCTCCGTGTGATTAGGTGTAAGAATTCAGAGAATCTCAGATGGAGGAAGAGACGAGGTAGTACAAGGTCCCATTTTACACCCTAGCACATTTCTGTTCTACCTGCATTAACAGCTGTTTCTTTTTTCTCTCTTTTTAAATACACAGCACTACATTTGAAACTGCATTAAATGTGCCAAAATTACAAATTTTTATAACATTTCCTTCTTTTTAACATCTCTTTTTAATACAAATGGATTATGTACCCCTTATCATTTGCTCTGGTCCATAAACAGAACTAAACAATAATGCTAGAAGGTACCTTGTCATTCCATTTTTTTTTAAAGTCATCCTGTGTAGAATCACTATCCTCTGATGATGTGTGAATCATCTCAGTTCTATCTGGCTTGTTCTCTGGCTATTTCTTGTTTTAATAATAAAAGGGGCACCGTTAGACTAGCAGCCTGGTGGCTGCAGATCACACACAATCACTCTTTGCCCTTCAATCTCTATCTTGGCTCTTGGCTAACATTTCCTCTTTCCCTCACTGCATTATGTCGCACCTCACCTTCCCACACCTCCAATCCTATTCACTCCATCACTGCTGCTGTTCTTCAGGGCAATGTGTTTAGAAGTGCTCGTGTCTGACAGGAGTTTACCTGAATGCCTGAGAACACCTCATCAATCTCCCATGAAGTGGGTGGTTTCAAATGAAGCCATCAAGTATGGCTAGGCTTACAAATGACGTGGAAGGCAGACTGAGAGCAGAAAGGGGCTGCAAAGGCTCAAACCCCACACCAGTGTATCCTTATTTCAAAATCAGGCTCCTCTTTCCTTGTTGTTGATGACCCATCAGATAGTAATTATTTGGTTATTTACATATGTGCAGGAGTGATTCTAGGGGAAGCAATTTGAGGAACATAGCTGCAATCCTAATGGCCTGAACAGAAATATTCTCTGTGAAGAAGTTTGCCGCATTTATAATTTGGGTTTCCCCATATTGATCTGATAACTCTGTGGCTGGATCAATACAGATGACAGGAGAGAAATCTCCTTTTGTAAAAAAGGCAGGATACAGAAAGACCACAGAAAATCGAACAGACTTTTTACTCACAAGCACTTTCACACAGTAGTCTCAGTTAATTTCAATCATCTGTGGAGCTGAGAGCCAAGAGCCACATGACGGATAGTACACAGCCATGAGACTTAAAAGAAAGGACATGAAAGAACATTCCAATGATAAATTATGAATATAATGACTGAGTGGAGAACAGCCCTCTAAAAGAGCATTGGGAAAGAGAGGCCAGCCAAAGACAAAGATGAGGAACAAGCTGGACTAGAACATTCATTTCTTCATGTTTTCCCACTCTCCATCTCTTACCCTTTCTGAAATTCACTTTGGACAGGGGAAAGAAGCAACATCCCTCCACTGAAAGCCACCAGTAAAAAGGCTCTCTGAAGACCACAAACTCACACAAGACCTTGGGGTTGAAATTTACCCATACGTTTTCCAGGGCAGAAACAGTTATGTCAATTGTTAAGTAGGTTTAGCCATTCAGTAGGTGCTTGTAGTATCCATGCAGTGAGGTTTTCCAATGGTTGATCTTTCATAGGATCAAACCCACTATTCAAGAGATACCAAGATCCTCAAAGAAGTTATGCTTTTGCGTTAGTGTAATCGGAATCCAAGTTCGGCTGTCTGCTGCCACAAAACCCAAAATCGAGAGGCAGATGCAAAAGAAAGGGGTTTGTTCAACTGCCAAACACTTGAGAAGATGGGGGACTCTTGTCACAAAGCCCAGCTCCCCATCACAGTGCGGGCAGAGGTTTTTATAGGGAGGGAGAGGGAAAGTAAAACAAAGAATCAAGGGGAGGCGGTTGAAAAGTCCTCTCTGGGCAGGCCAGCACAGTCCTTTCCAATATTTAAAACTGGTCAAATGATGGTCTGATGTGCTTATCTCAGTCTTTTTTTATCCTGTTTCTACCTCATCCTGATTCTATGTTTGAAGGTCAGCAGATCTCCTGGAACTGGGATGACTGAAGATCGGAGTCTGCACCTTCTGAAGTTAGTTCCTAGGATTCTTATAC